TTGTATCGGAGTTCTGGAATTGGACGATAGAAGACCCATCTAAACAATGCTAATGTGTCATTTATCAATGGTATTGATGACCAATGAGACCCTTTTGTGACAGCGATATATGGCTTCTCATCAAGAGTCGTCGCTGGAAAGAATTGCTGTTCTGACTCCCCAGTATGAATATTCGTCATAGTATATTCATCTTGCTGTTGTTGATAGTAGCGTACTAATTGCTTCTCAACTTCATTTTTGTGATATGCTTGTCGCAGCTTGTCGGTCCAAAGATGATATGCTCTAGTTATTGCGACTAGACAGATTATAATCACCGGAAAGTAAGTCCATGCGAGCGCGTACTTCCCAGCTTTATTCCATGGGTCCAGCGTATTAGCTGCGATCAAGCCAGGAGGACTAGTAGCCGTGAACGGAATGTAGATCCGTTTTGCGAGACTCTGAACAGCCTGAGACGCAGCCCCTACGGCAGATACTCCCTCTGATGTGAGATCAACCATTGTAAATCTGGAGGCGGATCAAATTCCCAAACAAAGAAATCGACTGATCAGTTTCAAAGCGGTCGAGACCCCAAATGGACGAATCTAGCATATATGACGAACATCGAGTTTTGCAAAGCGTAATGTCATTTATCTAATTCAGTGCGTCTCGGAGATGTCGAATTTGCTAGCTGAAGAGAAATCCGGATTTCTCAAGAGACGCAAAAGCTTTAAACGTAAAATGGTGATGATAAACGTTTAAATAGATCCAAACCAAAGCGAGACACGACAAGTCTATACAGTTCTCCGGGTAAAGCCTCAGAGGGCTAGATATATTGAAATATCACAAAGTTACTGGTGTGGGGAATGCCCGATAGTTAGTATGCCAAGGTCCACAATGTTCCTGCAGGTGGAGTAAATCCGTCACCTTATCACCTGCAACCACTGATTTATTGCATCCGGTCACCTCGAAATATGCGCACACCCGGAACCAAATGGCGTTCAGGGACAGAAAGAGTTAGCAAAATCAGGGCGAAAATCTTTAATACCCTTATACTTTGATATGATGGGTGGCAATGTGAAATTGATGGAACATAGTGTATGCTATTGGTAATTGTTGGCAGAAATTGCGGCTTGTTCTATATTGGTATTGGTCGTGCCACCCCCAGGATGATGGCGGCGAGTCCAGGATTTGGACCCCAAAACGGATATGCCTGTCTTGATCTAGGAAGATGCCGCGGTTTCCGTTATCGAATATCATGCAAGTGATTCCCGCCTAATAAATGATATACAGAGGGAAGAATTTCAAGGACGTGCGTAAATGATCTGAGGAGTTAATAACAACAATACTTGCGCGAAGGCTATTCAATGTGACTGATTGCAATGTTGCTCTATGCCCAACAGTAAACGAAGAAGGGTAATCTATGCAGCACGATCTCAGCATTGTGAGTGTGATACACATGCATGGCCGAGGACACATGCTGAAGAGGCATCGTTGAGCAGAGTTCAGGGCCAAGATTTTTCCTATGGTCCGAAAGGAATTGGCCAATCAAACTTCAAGGATGGCTTTCTCCAATGAGACATAAAAAACGTGCCCCCCGCCATTGTGTAATTTTGCAAAATTCTGTGATGATTCTGTAGTTGTCTCAACCACCACCACGCGTATATCAATTTTTCTGAAGGTTGCAGTGCATGTTGAGCGCCAACAGACGCACGTTGATTGCTTCGCTTACGTTTTAGTTGCTGATAGGGGCCCCTGCAACTTTCAATATCCCCCGGCTTGGTACGGTCGGTTTGCACAGTTTCAGGTCACATTTGTATAACCATCTGCCGGATAAACTCGATTCTTGATAGGAAGCTCATGGCCGTTGCCCAATTATCATCTTCAAGAATTCGTGAACTCAATAACTGATCGTTGATGAGATCCCGATATTAGGGATATTGGAGGAAGTTGAGGTATAACTGTTGGAACCGCTCATGATTCATCAACACTTCTCCTGCCGCTTCATCACAATTATTACTCGTTATCACAAAGACAATTAACGAATAGCTTGCCAGTATTGACCAATGTGTGCATACTATCGTCGAATTGGGAGTATTTGAAAACTCACAATGGAGAACTATTTGATTTTGACTCAATCTAGCCATGTGCTCCGATACATTCCGTTAGACCTCCAATATCATTGAATGAATGAAGGTGGAAAGTGCTTATCAGTGATACCCGTCTCCAAACTAACATGATCGGCAGTCGATGACAGTCAACTTCCTAGCAAAACCGAGTCATAAAATTTGTGATGGAGAGAAAATTTGACTGCACTCCATGAAGATTGCGTCTGCGAAAAGAGGAAATTGATTTCAGTGGCCCAGTTAGGACATCTACTCTGGACTTATCTTAGTCCTTGGGCCTCTATTGATCTCCTTCACGGTGCACCAAGGGCTGATCTGCTGCTGCAGTGGGGACAGCTGAGACAATTTCACACCCCTCATTTATCTCTTGTCTCTTCCCTGCAGGTACGCTCGAGGTACGAAAGTTGACGAAGGTCTCTCTCTGAACCGAATATGACACCTTCCCTTCAGGTCTTAATCTGAAAATTCGAAAACAAGAGCGGTGAGATGCGAGAATTGCACTGCTTCGTATACGTAACCATATGGTGCTATGGTATATGAATGGATGAGATAAAAAAATTTGGCAGTCTAGAACCAGCATTGACAATTCTCAGCCTCGTTCTATCAAATTTACAGCCTAGCTCTCAGCGATTCTTTCATTGGCTAAGGTAACACGGCCACAGCCGCAACTAGTAATTTTAGCTCCAAAAGGAAAAAAAGTTCAGCCGACGACATTTGACTGATAAACTAAAGCTTCCGCCTCGTGATAGTTAATTCGGAGTGGATAGATAATACAACCTTCAACAATGACATCTACAGCTCAACCCACTCTTTCATTTCCTCGCGAGACTTTCGCAAAACTCTCTCCTCACCCATACCTTCTTGCACATCTCCAACCAAGCTCTCCAACCAATTCATCAAAACGTGCAAACGGTCGATCGCCAACCCAATTTCGCGCTCCACACATCAATACCGGTTCACTCACACATGCTGAAGGTAGTGCAGTCGTGCGTATAGGAGACACTGCTGTTGTCTGCGGAGTTCGAGGTGAAATTCTACTTGCAAGCAATGTTGGAACGTACCGAGTCGATAAATCCACCACCGCTCCCTCGTCGCGACCAGGTTACAATGAAGCAAAAGAATTGGATCTACTAGTTCCAAACATCGAGCTAGCTACAGGATGCTCACCTGCATTCTTACCTGGTCAACCACCGAGCACATTGGCACAAAGCCTAAGCACGAGAATATATTCATTATTACACAGTTCGCGCATGGTAGATGATGAGGACTTAAGGATTTGGTATCAATCACCAGATCTGAGCGAGCAGGATAGAATGGAAGATGATGAAGAACCAGAGTCTGTCGAACCCGAAGTCAAGGCATTTTGGACTTTATATATCGATATTTTGTTCATTTCGCTCGACGGAAATCCACTTGATGCTGCTTGGGCCGCTGTTGTATCTGCTTTGAGGAACGTGAGATTACCAAAGGCACATTGGGACGCGGATCGGGAGATGATACTTTGCGATGACGAGGTATCATTGTCGAAAAAATTAACTTTGAGAGGACTGCCAATCGCTGTCACATTTTTAGTATTCAGGGCAAAAGAGCAAAAGCGCGGAAAGGATAAGAAATTCTGGATATTGGCAGATCCGGATACATTTGAGGAGGGATTGTGTGACGAGTCAATCACGATGGTTGTTGATTGCAAAGCAGACAAGCCAAAAATACTGGACCTGTCAAAAGTTGGTGGAACTACTGTGGGAAAGGATGAGATGAAGCATGTTTTGGAGCTGGCTGAGACAAGATGGCATGAGTTAAGTCCGTTGTTAAGTGCATGATTGTACAAATATTAATTAAAGAAATTTGATATGGTAGTAAACATTCTCTTAGTGAAGAATGAGCACAGAGTTCAGAGCTATATTCAAACACCAAGATTTTGCAACAGACTTACTTCTATCACAAAAGTTCTTTCCCACACCCCTGGCGTATAACAATAACCGTCACCTATTTCTACACTCTTGCCGATCTTTCATTAACTAAAGATCAGTATCAATGTATCCCAAAGCTTGGATTCAAAGCATTGCCACTTGTGTCATTTCAGCAGCAACATGCACATCGTCGTAGATGTTTTTGTTTGTGATATAAGAAACAAGAAACAGTTCTTGACTTCGAGAGTCGAAGTTCGTTCTCGTGAAGTGTTGAGGTGCTATGTTCGTTCTGAGGCTGACTTACGGTGGAATAGCTGCATCAAGCAATCGATTTGTGCGTCTACCTAGGTGGATTTCACACGATCCACTTGACTCATCCTCCTATATACCGTTACGTGTCTAAGTCTCGAGAAGTCTCCTTGATGAATATCAATCAATCACGGTCTCCAAAGATCTTATCGATATGTGATTTCTTGCTTTTCATTCCACATTGCATGTGAAGGGCGTCAGGGTCGTATCAACATTTCAGAAAGTACATAGTAAAACGTATCCGTTCAGATCTGGTCATATTAAGACCCCTTGATTTACTCGTTGTTTTGAGTAGGATTTTGATAATTTACTTTAGGTGAATGCCATGTATCTTTGATAGTTTAAGGCTTGCAAGGGCAATTGTATAATGGGCAATCGCTGTGCCACCATTATGATGACTCTTCATTCGTCGAATGACTCTACGCAACGAAAGTCGTGAATCACTTATTCGTACCACGGGGGTGTACGCACCGCCATTATATCGTACATGTACGTTGGCATCTCATTTTCTCATTCTTCAAAGTACCTCCAAAAATCCACCTATCACATTTTAAATTCCATACCTTAAAGCACTCAACATACACGAAATGCAGCTCAACTTGTTTCAGCGCCGTCATAAAATCAGGATTGCTGGCTAGTTCTGTACTGTCTCGTCATACCATTGTTCATTACCATCTTCATGTTCGTGTCGCTTTCTGGCCTGTTTATTCTCAAATTAGAAAATGGTATCAAGAGCGGCGAAACAAATCCCTCCACTCATGATCATGTAAAATTTTACGTAACAAACACCTGCCTTGTTCACGGCCAGTCTGGGTCGGCAGCACATAATATTACATGCTCCGTGCAGCCTTCAGGTATGTCAGATATAAGTATCTTGTTTGGCTCCGAAGATATCACAAAATGATAAAATCTGACGACTCTCTACAGATGTATTACCTCAAATTGTCCCACCGGGAATGCAAGACTTGATCTCTAGGGTTCTAGGGAAGGGGAAGAATAGACTCTTGACATGCTTCCTTTTGTCGACAATGTCAATAATCGCTTCAGTGCCCATCATCTTCATATTTAAGCTCTCTACAATCAGGAAACAATGTATCGTTCTATCGGTTTGCAGTCTTGTTAGACACCCAACTTCCATTTCCTGTTGACACTACGTTCTAACCCAGATGTGCAATTAGATCACCTTGATATTTCTCATACTGGCAACGACAATTATCTCCCACTGCCTTCACAAGTCTTGAACGCCGTTGCTGCAACTGCGTCGTCAAACAAAATATTGGTGGTAAGGGGAATTTGGCTCTTATTTGTAAGCTGCCTGACTACATTTATTAGTTGTGTTACTTTGTGTGCTTTTGTTGTGCTTAGCTGGAAAAACATCTGGAGGGATGAAGACGAGAATTGGGTTTGGGAGCATATACATAAATACTGCTGTTGTGGTTCTCGTTCCTAGAACGAAAGGATCAGCCTATCTATTTGCAGAGTTTGAAGTTTAGTGCCATAAAATTGTCGTCTTTTTTCATGTTTCCTGAAAATAACATTTCGTGATTTTAGATACTCTAACACAGCACGTGTGATCTTTCCATCCATCCAAAGCTATATTTGCACATGGACTCGGGTTCATACTTCCAGACCTGTTCTCAAAAGCTTGATACAATCAAATAGTGTGTACACAGAGAAAAACAAAGCAGGGCCTCCATTTATTTGAAATTGACGCGAAATTAGCCTCCCTGCTGCTTATTTCTATTTTCACACTGTGTAGTAATGACAGCCATTCTTCCCTTTCTTAGAATTTCTCAATATCAATCTCTTCATCGTCACATGTTCACATGAACTCGCAAGTGCAGATAATGGGACTGAGTGAATTTTGAGGAGTGTATGACTTGATTTGGAGTTAGGGACTTGATAGTACATCTCATCCAATCAAACTCTTTGATACAAAGAGTAGGAGATGCCTTTTCTCGCTGAGTATTGCATCATTGCGAAATATGGCAACTTCTGCTCAGCCCCTTTTCCTCTGATCGAAATTTTGCATTCAGGATGTCTATCTTTTCCTGATTCACCTGTACATATGTGCATTAATACTATGGGTTTTAGATTGAGCAGAAGTGAATAACATCAGTTTGTAGTTTTCTCGATTCATTTTAATACGAAATTTAAGATGATTTCGTGTTGAATTAAAGCTCCTTCCCATAAATCTTCATAATCCTATCCAACTGTATCTTCTCTCACACAACCATCTTTCATCACCAGGAATCAGTTTCGAATAGTCAAACAGATATAACAGTTTGCATTATGGCCGATAAAGCCCAAGACGAAGCGGAAGGGGTCGCTTTGAATCCATCCTCAGGAGAAGGTGCCGCTCCCAAAGAGAATGTGCGAGGAGGCAAGCCAGGAATCTGGCAGTCAGGAAAAAACTGCGTTTCGTACTTCTCCACCCTCAGCGTCTTCACGATCACCACTCTCCTTATGATTCCTGGTCTCGCTCTTGCATGCTATCATCAAAGAGCTCTTCAACTCCTTACGCTCACTACTACATCTACTCCTGGCAAGATTAGCGGAGGTTTGAATGCAACAAATGGAGGTGGAGATAATCTCACTCACAAGATATATCTATGGTATTATTGTATCTCGGGCGTTGCTGCTGGAGCTGGCAATCTTGTAAACATAACGGATAGTTGTCATCAATCAAGACAAGGTATGTACCTCCCAATGTCCTTTTCTTGTCATAAAACCGCATGTCTAACATACGTTTCTTTAACACAGCATTAACCTATCACATTCTCCCTTCCCTCAACTCAACCTTTAAACCTCCTCTTCCTGGATACGATGCCTCTGGTCCTATCATGGCGATCAATGATCTCATTCAGAACTACGCGTATCCAGCTTTCGCCTCCTATGTCGCCGCCATTTTTCTCTTAATAATCTTTTCCAGTTTCTTCATCTGGTGGTTCGGTGCTACCGCTACGCCACATAAGGAGACACTTATGCTCGTACTGTCCGTAAGTTTCCCATTCTTTCTCTCTCCCTACACAACTCAATCATCCCCAATCAAGCTCCTGACACATCACCCCCCAGATCTTCACAGGTTGTTTTGCCACCCTTGCAGCACTGCAAACCTATCTCTGCTACCAAACCATCTACATCCTCAATCGCACCATGGAACATTCCAAATCCACTCTAAACATATCCATCACACCCGGCTTTTCCTATCTCATCATCATCCATCTCTTCTGGATCATCCTTCTTCTCAACATCTTCATCATCCCCATCTCAACATGCATCAAACGTCGCCGCGCGAAGCGACAACTCAAAGCCCTAGAAACCGATGCACACGAGCTCAAAGAAAACGAAACTCTAAACGGCAACACTAAAGTATGTAGTACTCCAGATGAGCCTGCTGATTCGGAGTCCAGTGATGATGATTACAATATGCCTCCTCGCGGTGCACCCCAATATGGTGTGCCCACATATCCTCATCCCGGTATGCAGGATCAGGGATATTATGGTCATGGCTATGGTGCGCAAATGCCGATGCCTATGTCTCTGTCGGATCCCATGCAGGACAGCATGTATCCACCACAGTCTGCAAAACGCAAGAACAAGGAGAAGCGAGAACAAGAAAGGGATACAGCAAGTCTATAACTTAGAGGATTTGGTGGTTGAAAATGGCGTTTCGGCAATACTATGATTCTTCATTACGTTAGCTCTTGGTTGAACTCCTAGATATAGAATGACTCGAGGAGTCAGTCGGCCGAGTCAAATACGTGACAGGAATTTTCGAATCATTTCTTTGGTTGAATTTTAGAGAGGATATTTGAAGATGACTCGGAGGAGTCAGATAGAAGTTAAATACAAGTCATACCATTTCATGATTCATGAAATGCGATCCATAGAGTCTAGTTCAAGGAAGTCTTATAAAGTTTTCCCTTTATCTTTTTCTTCTCTGCTCCTGTACCACTTCCACTTTCGCAAGCAAGTTCTCTCATCAAACATAAATACCATAACCCAAATACCAAATACCAAATACCAACAACCAACACTCAAATATCACCTATTATGTTCAAATCGCTTCGCACCGCCAAAGAAAAACGCCAAGGTCCTGCCCGGAGATACTACCGCGGTCTCTGCACCGTCACCGCCACCTCCATCATCGTCATCATATTCATTCTCGTCTCCCTAGTCTACCAATTCCCGGGAAAAAATAACTCGATTCTCGACATCGAAAACCCAAGTATCACTTATAAAATTTACATTTTCCAATACTGTGTTTCTACCGGCCGCGAAAACGACAACGGGGTTGACAAAAACCCCAACGCGAAAGATGGATTGGGGTGTCATTTAGATCTCAACCGTAAGTTATTTTCTCATTTCTGATTCCTAGATTCCTGGACTTTATCACTTCATCACTATATCATAAATAATCACCCACGCACGAAAAAAAAATGATAAAACTAACCCAACATGACAATCCCCAGCCCTCGGCTACATCGTCGCTACAACCAACAAACAAGCAGAACCCAGCGATCTCGCCACCTTCTACACATTAATGACCATCGCATTCGCCTTCTACTACGTTGGCTGTCACGCAGTCGCTCTCACGATATATCTCTGGTGGCGATGGTTTAATCGACACTTCGACCCCGGAGAAAAAGTCCCCAAGAAAAGTTTCAAAAAGCTGATGCTCGCGTGCTTTGTACGTATTCCTCTTCTATCTACCCCTACCACCCTCCCTTTTCAGAAAGAAAAAAAAAGAAGAAGAAGAAGAAGAAGAAGAAGAAGAAGAAGAAGAAGAAGAAGAAGAAGAAGAAACAACTAACATCCCCCTCTCCACCTCACCAGACCGGACTAACCATCTTCTGCATCCCCGCCTCCTGCCTCACCCACGCCTCCTACCTCGGTAGCGGAATCGCCGGCGGCGGAATCCCCAAATCCTATTCCAAAATCGGGAATCTCTACATGCTTTTCGTGCATTCTCTCTGGCTCTGGTATCTCGCTTCTCTTCTCATCGTTTTTCTGCTATTCAGAAAGGAATATCCCAAACCGCCTAAAGAGAAAAAGGAAGAGGAAGAAAAGTCGGAGGATACGGAATCGGTTTCGGGTTCGGCTTCGTCGTATGGAACTGAGTGGGAATATGCCTCGGATCCTGTGGGTCCGACTTTATGGCCTAGGGAATAGGGTAGTGGTGTACGATGCTCAGGAGTCGGAGTCGGAGATCCTTTCATAGATGCGTACATAGGATATCTGTTTTTTTAGAGTTTTCTTATCTCGATGAGTAGAATATACACATATTCATATTAACCGACGCATAAATCGCACTTGTCTCTACACTAGTGATATGCAAACAACCAACGTCCAAGTCATCAATTCTCATTAAAATCATCAATACATTACCACTAATAAATGTTAGCCTCATGAGCGACCCACTCCCCCAAAGAAATCATATACTCTTAGGGTGCGTTCGAATCGATTTTCAATTTATTTCATAAAATCTCTAATAATATTAAAATAGCAAAGGTATTGAAGCTAATATATTTGAGTAGTATTAAATATATTTAAGTAATATTGAAAAAATGATAGGAATAGATAATAATAAAGATTTATTCGTAAAACTCCAAAAAGCTGCTTTACAATCAATATATAAGAATCTTGAAAGTATTTGCCATTTTAAAAATTATTTATCAAATAAATTATTAGGAATTATTTGATAATTCCAAGTGTTTAGTAAATATATTTATTTATCAAATAATTCCCTAATAATTTATTTCACAACCTTAAACATTCAATAAATTTATTATTTGAGATTATTTACTAAATAATTGAGGTCTAATAATTGAAATGAATCGAAATAAATCGATCCGAACGCACCCTTAGCACTACCAAAACCAAAACCAAAACCATCCCCATTTCGATACTATGATCTCTCCCCCTCAAAGTCCATATACACATAACCCTATCAGATATCTCACTTGGAAACTTGAGAACTTAAGAACTTGACATTCATCAATTACACAACTCAACACTCACTTCCACTTCCTCCTCCACTTCCTCCACTTCCTCCTCCATAACACCCCCACAACACCACAACACCACCATCCCATCCCAACCCATCCCATCCCTCTACCCGAATACATCACACCCCCTATCAAAGCCCTCAGCATACATACCTCAACATACCCCAACATCCACAATCCTTCATCCCTCTGCCCGACCCAAAATAAATATACCTCAGAAGTGTCTATCTCAAAGAAAATAACAATCAACCTCCCTGCTAATCAAAAGTCCAAATCTCATTCCTTATATCTTCCGAATCCATACACAATGAATTATTAGCACTAGCCAGCTCAATAGCACTCATTTGACTCTCATCGACAAAACAGTTGCGTCGCAAACATAGATAATCTCATTTCACACCTCACCAACCCATGCAACACTCATTGAACACAAAGTCCTATCAATTGCCAATCAATTCAATTTATTGAGTGTACGTGTGCATTGTCATCTACTACTAGGTTTCTCCTTTCTACCCAACAATCCTACCCCTGCCGCTCTTATCCGCCCCTTAACCTTTGATCATAGAGTCTACATTACTCTCGTACCCGATTTCAATCCAACAACTGTCTCTTTCCTCAAGACCGTCTAACCTCTAACCAAATTCACAAGAAGAGGCACATCTGAGTCCATTCAATCCAGTCACTAACCCTAACCGTGTTTCTCAAAACCCTTTCCAGTCCTCAAATCTCACTGGCATTAAAAAAGATTTCCTATCTTCCTCGTCGCCCCCAACCTCGTCGAGCTACGGGGTTGTTCATGTGTACTCCCATACGCCTATGAAATCAAATAACAATTTGTGGGCCATTCGGCCCCTCAAAATAATTCAAAAAAAGAAAGATTCTTCATGATGTAAGAACCAAAGTCGAAGCTCAAGTGAAAAAATATGAAAAGGTCTTTAGTCCGAAAGTTCACGCAGAGTACCATATCCAAACTCGGGGATGTTAGGCAAGAGTGATATACCACATGAAGGGTAATAGCAGTGCAGGGAAAGGAGAACGAAATGTGGTAATTATGCGTGCTCGATGATTGTTAAATCAGACGCAGGCGTCTAGGTCCTTATTATCTAGAGTGTAATAAAGAGACGAACGACGAACTTGATGTCGATTGCTAATTCAAAGTAGCTGAGGTGTTGGTGTTGGCAATGGCTTATTCTCAACCCTTGGCTTTCGTGGCCCTCCCTTCAAACTCTTAACTCTAGACAAGAACCCTCCTCCACCATTGGACACGGGAGGTCTGGAAGAATCCCCGATGCTATCGCTAGTGACACGCCTTTCGATTCCTGGGGGGTTAGAAGGTGCACGAGAGCGACCGGGTCTTGGTGGCAGTTCAGCAAATGTGACTGTTTCCTCCTTGATAGTATCGTCGCCCTTGCCAAATTCATTGAAAAATGGGTTGGCTTCATTTGTCCTACTTCCAACGGGAGTGTATCCGTCTGGAGAAGTGGCGTTGTACATGCCTTCTGGGCTAGTCATTCTACCAGAAGGTCCGTAATCGCGCCGGCTATTGATGCCGCGGATCTTCTGTGCCAATGACTTCTTTCGAGATAGCCCGCCATCCATACCAAATTGCTCATTCTGGTTCTTTTGAACAGCCGAACGAGAGGCTGGAGCACCTTCAAGGAAAGTAGAGGTTCCCAGGCCCATGGATTCTTCACCATGAACTGGCTCAACACGTGTAGTTGCACTTTCAATGGCAGATTCTGTGCGGCTAGGCATTCCCGGGCGATGAGTATAAGGTTCAAAATTATCGACTTTATCTCCCCCACGGGAATAATCAAGATGTGCTTCTGCGTCATTATTGCCCATAAAAGTTGCATGATCAGGTTTCTTGTTCAGAGGTCCTCCACCACCAAGAGAATTGTTGGCTGAATCTTTAGCGAAGGCTTGCATTGGTGCACGACGACTTCCTGCTCGATTACGGTCTGGGTTGCAGGCATCAAATGGCCCATCATGATGGAATGCTGTACGCGAATTAGTAGTGTTATTGGATAGAGAATGATAAATTTTCTCAACTTACTGCCAATTCCGAAAATGCTGGTGGCGTCTAGTTGATCAATAACATCGAGAGGTGCCTTCTTCTTGGTCTTTTCTGCAGCGCGCTTACGATCACGATGTCTCTTTTCTTTCTCTAAGCGTCTACGTTGATCTTCTGGATCAAGTAATTTGGGTTTTCGTTCCATGATAGATGTGTCGGAGTTGCGTCTTGTTCTTTGTCTTGGGCTATCGTTGGGGTCGGCAAAAATATCTAATTCTTCTTCGCGTGGCCTGCTGCTTGAAGATGGCTTTCCAGCTGCTCTTCTCGCACGCATTGCCTCTTCCTGTGACCTCATTGGTCTATGTCCCGATGGCCTTCCCGGAGGGATGTTCTCTGCCTGTGGTCGGGTCGTGCCTGTGTTTGAGCGCACCATCCCCGGTTTGTTATTTCTGTTCGGAACGGGTTTATCTCCGATTGTGAGTTCGTCCTGCATTGTTAACGTCAGCGATACTTTCTCATGTAGCCAAATTTCTTGTAGGTTGAGTTCCTCCCGAAGTGTGTTCTTGTGTTCTTCAGGCTTTATGTCTAGCCAACAAGGTTGTGAGAAGGGTATTCATGGTTTGAGATGAACGTACAAATAAATCCGCTGCGTTTCCTGTTAGAGCTGGCCCTGATGAAGTCGGACTTGTTCGAGAAAATGCCATGGTGCTTGATGATGTTTGATTCGTAGTTGAAGAATCGAGAAATGGATTTCGTGATAGAGGTCTTGGAGGAGGTACTCGGGGGGAACGCTGGGTAGAAGAAGGCATAGCTGGAGACACGGCTCGATTCCTAAAGGGGTTGTTGGATGATAGATTGGCTGAAAGTCCAGGCGATCGATTGCCTGTTTAGAAAACAAGATTCAAATGTCAGTCTACGGATTGATGCTTGTCGTTGATGGGAAATGATAGGAAGAGTGAAACGCTGAACATCCAACTTGATACAAGCCAGCCGTGATAAGTGGGGATGTCAGTTTTGTCGTCGCAGACTTGCGGCGCATAGATTACAAGAATGATTTGAACTTACCATCAAAGTCTGGTTGGATAGAGCTTAACGACATTGTGGCAATGATTGTGATGACGACACAGATCCCAGAATTAATCACTGTAATAAGTTGTGATGCGTTGATTAAAGGAATCAGGGGAATGTGATCCGGTTTATTTTTCAATTTGACGTCGTTGTATTGGTGTAGAAGGCAAATAAAGTTTTCTTATTCGTTCGTTCCTCTTTTTGAGGGATGTTTGAAAGTTTGATAGGTTTCTTTCTAGTCCAGGGAAAACAAGAAGTATGTGGGTGATGGATGACGATGACTGGTTGTGCGTAAGGTAGTAGGAGGTTGACTGATTTGGAAGAGTGAATCCGTTTCTTGGAGATTGGGATGAGATGGGTTTGATGAATCTTGTTGGTTCCTCTAGCTCTCCCGCGTTTAGAGCAACTTGTACACGAGTACTGTACTATATCGTACTGTAATTGAATCAAGAGGAAACCGCCCGGGTGAGCAAGGTAAAAGAGAACAGACCGATCGATTTTGGTCCGTGTCAGGATAAACGGTGAATTCCTTACCGACCGAGGCCTAAGCAAGCACTCACCACCTCTGTGGTGTGTAAATTTGTGTTTGAGACGTGTAAAATCGATTGGATACCAATATCAATACTAATGTCAATATTGATTGATCTGATATTCCGTTCCCCCTTAAGCTCGAGAAAGGCGTCGTGTCGTCCTCTCTTCTTTTCCTTGGTCCTTTCACTTTAAGTCTCAGGATTAATTGCTCGCAATCAAACAAATTAAAATCCTTTGGGGAACCTCAAAGATGGTAAGGAAGGGATAGGAGGGGGAGGGAAAGAAATGTGGATAGCGATGGGACAGGATGTGAGATGCGAAAATGCTTGATGTACAATCGTAATCTTATATCCCCGTTCGTCTCCCTTGATACCCTCTGCTCAAATTGAATTCAGAACCGAATTTGATTCGAGGAATTTGTGTCAAGTTGTGGATTCGATTCCGACTGCTTGACGATCTTCCAATTTAGTAATTGTGGTCCTCTACCAAATTCCTTGTCAAATCTGCAAAGTATAAGTAGGGAACCGAGGATTGAAATTGTTCAGGAGTCGATAATAATGTGGATTTGTAAGTTGTGGGGGTTTGAATCGAAAAGCAAATGAAGGGCGAAATGAAGTTTGAAGTTCCAGATGTTTGATTAATTAGCGGCAGGATGAATGAGTGAGAATGAGGGTGTAGCTTGTATGGATGTATGGATGTATAAATTTGACCGTTTCCTCTTTCGTTGGAATGAAGGAGATGAAGAGGTCGAGGGATCGAGGGATAGAGGGATAGAGGACGAGAAGGAGAGGACGACGAGGAGGAGGAGGAGGGGAGACGCGGAAGTTTTATGCGGAATCCACGGTGTTTGTCCTTTTTCTTCCTATCTCTTCTCTTTTCAATAACAATGTTTATGTAGGCGTGGTAGGTATGATAATCTGATTGTAGGTGTGATGTGACGTGACGTGATTGCGTATATTGTAATCGTCCCTGTGAAGGTAATCTATATTCCCTTTTGAATGATTTCGATCAACAGAATCTACCCAGGTAGGTATGTATTTCAAATTATCCAAACGGGTAGAAGAGCAGGTAGGTAGATGGGTAGGTTGGCAAACTTCTTTTTGGTACGATGACGATGTCTTTTTGATATGACAAAGCAACTTTCTTCTTTGGTGGTATGAAAATGATAGTTGGGCGAAGAACGATTGATATTCTTATGTAGTATTTTCTACTGTTGATGTGTATTGTACAGTGCCGTTGTAAATGAGGTTATTGAAAGAAGTTGTGTAGAAACTGTACGGGGGATGTTGGAGTGAAAGAGAAGATGGAGTATTGATGAAGTTTTTGTAGGTAGGTAGTATTGGATACCTGTGATATGTTAGAGGGGAAGAGAGGGAAAGAAGAAGCTTTCTTCCTTTTTTGGTAAATTATGAATGGATCAAAACATCAGATGAGCAACTGATGAAGGTATCTCTTGACCTTTTGAATCACACTTCCACCAGTTCCTTCTATATTTGGTAATTGTCTAGTATGTAAATGTAGTATGTAGTATATAGTATGTAATATGTAATATGTAATATCTAACATCTAACATCTAATATCTGATAGATACTACAAAGTATTGATTTATGGATACCCAATACCTACTAATACCTACCTCCCTTCATCCCCCACTCCTTTGAATCTCTTTCCTTATTACCTTTTCCTCATTACCTACCTATTCCCTATGTATGTTGTACTTTTCTTTTGGCATCAATATCCAATGCCAATATAACCTTTTCTAGAAGGGGTTTGGATCCGGACAAGGAAGCTACTTGAAAAGTTCGGGGAAACCTTGCTAATCTTTTGATACCATCATCCGAACGAAATATGAAATCTCACCAGAATAATGCAAAGCTTTTAATAAAGCCTCAACTCCTAGAAGCAGGTACCACTCTGTACAAATCCAAATGCAACCTCAAAAGGAGCTGCCGATATAAAATATATGGTACACACGAGAAATCTATCACTCTACTAACTAACTACCTACCTACGCTTGAGCTGTCGTAGGTACCTTTCTATAGATCCCACGGAGGAATCCCAATATCGATTTTGTCAGAGGAAGGATTGATTATATCTTTTGGGCTGAATAGCTCGAAAATAGTCCCGCCTGTCGAAGAGACATAAGAGTCTATTAAAAGCACTACCCAGAGTCAGTCATAGATAATAGTAGTATTTGCCAAACGCCACTGTCTTCTGAGCCACCCCAACCGAGAGTCTGTGGAGGAACACTTGCCTGGATGAGTTTAGTTTGGCGTCATTCAACTTGACCGTCTCCAAAGTAACCGGCTGATGGTACCCAGTAGCAAGTCAAGATCGTATCTACCTCAGACACTACTACGTATTGCTATCAGACCTTATCCCGATTGTTCGAAAGAGCTTCCTCAAGATGGGGAAGGGGGAAGAGGGTTTGCCATTTGGTGTATCTCAAGACCGTGAAAGGTCGTTTGGAAGAGTAGTGTTCCTAGTGTATCCATCATTAATTGATGGTGTTAAGAATTGGACATATCTGATGATTCTAGATTCTTTTGGGCTGAAGATTCAAATTCATTCAATACAGAATAAATGGATCGATTCCTCTCAAGTTTCCACTCGTCAATATTTCTATTGCCGAAATTTGTTTGTAAGGGCTAGACTGAACAGTGAACAGTGAACACACATATTTGACAGCAATGCCCAATGCCGAGAACTGGAGATTCTGAACATCCAAGTGGATCTACTAGCCAGCATCGCCAGGGAGGAAAGATCTCAAGAGGGGTTGGGAATAGGGGACCTATGATAGCTTCAGGTACAAGAGTCAAGTCTCCACTCTAGTTAGTTAGTTTGATGTTCCTGATGTTCCTGATGTTCCTCATTTTAAGCTTCAAAGCACCAACAAAATTTCATGGGAAAAAGGTCTAATTTTATAAGACCGACGAGACAGATAGAGTGTGAGGTATGACAGCTTCATAATTCATGCGACGAGAATCCATTAAAGAATCTAGAGAAGTCTTCGAAAACTCAGATTCATGCAAAAGTTCTTCTCGAGCATTGACAGATCAGATTAATTGTAATTCATTATTTAAAAAAATCCTGGCCCCCTGGTGGTTAGATAAGTACTGACTAATCGATTAATGTAAGGCCAAAATTCTGCCTAGCCTTATCAAGCTTTCATCAAAGCTTCATCAGTTAGATCTACAGCCTTGTATATCACAATCAAACAAAATCATTCCCTTCCATCCATCATACTATCATCCCCACGCATCGAATCGTAAGCCTAAACTCAATCTCCTATATCCAATTTCTCCATTGATTCAAACCTTACCGACGTCATTACATCTTCATCTTCCGTTCCGCCTGTTCCACTGTCGAAGGTTCCGCGAAACATCCGCATATTTCGCGATTTCCCGGGCACCATCAAATACCATCCCTTGCTTCACAGGTACATCTTGCACAACTCATAATACGCAACGTGAAAACAAAATGACGACGATCAATTCCCCTCCGGAAGATATTAAGATGGAGGATGGTACCAGGGTAACCCCTTCAGTATCTGGGGAGAATGAGGAACCCAAATTTGGAGGATTTACAAGGTTTGAAATCGAACTTGAGGTATGTTGGAGAATTCAAATGTTTTCTTGAAAGAGGACTGGGGGGATAAAGGGATTTATGGAATTGGTAGAGCTGCGCATGTCCGCATATGAGGGCTCGAATATCCATTCCTTTTAAATTCAAAAATTTCCTCTACAATTCCTAATTGCTCCCCCTTCCAATCTCCATCCACACATTGTCTACCTGCTAACTCACTTTAGTTCATAAATGCCATCTCATCACCCTACTACCTAATGCACTTAGCCTCCCTCTCCTCTGGTACTCTCCTCAGCTCCCCACCATTCATCGCCTACCTCAAATATTTACAATACTTTACCCAACCCCCATACCTCAAATTCCTCTCCTATCCTGGACCTAGTCTGAAACACCTAGAATTATTACAAAATGAGAATTTCAGAAGGGATTGTTTGAGTATAGATATTATAAGTATGCTCGCCAGTGAGGATATGGCAGCAGTAGAGAGGTGGCAGAAGGAATGATGCAGTGGAGGGAACGGAGAAATCAACAAGTCATCAATGTCCCATGGGTAGAGCCATCAGACTTGATTGTGAGAGCATCTGTTTTCAAACGGCTTTGCTTTCGCTCGCCTTGTATCAAAACACCCTATTATAGGACAGATGCAGATCTCACTTGCGCTCATCCGCGTCTTGAAGGCCACCACGATACCGTACTCGAGGAAGGTCTACCAGTAGTGAGTTGAAGTGTTGGGACATCAGGCTTACCCGAATTCATTGACAATGGGGGAAAAGTGTTTTGCGATATACCAGGAGTTCTAGGTTTGAGATACGAAGTAATTGAACACATCGAAGTTGTTACGTTGGGGAATGGGTATGACTGAGAAGTAAAAGCTTCTTCTTTAATGCTTCTTAATTAAAAAGAATCCGACGCCTTTTATGATATAATTTACACCCAAATGCAGACTACTTATCTCACGAGGTATATTAACCATTACGCCATATTGCAAAATCCCAGCCCAGATGTCCTACGCCATGTCTGCTCACTTCCCCAGCATAACCTGCGTGACAAATCCCTTCGTGAACAAACATCTAACATGTTTTTCATGTCGACATCCCCCAACTTCGTAGCAAAAGATAACTCTGCAAACCTGCCCCCATTCATCTAGTTCTCTCTCCATTGGTTTGCACATGTCATACACTACAAACAAATTGTTAGCCTCATTCCTCTTTCATCATAATCATTCACGACCTCCTTCTTTTCCTCCTCCTCCTCTCCCCAATTCTCCTCGTTCCCCAGATTGCTACCACTATCCCTGCTTCCAATTTCCAAACAAGCCAAGTAATGAACAAAAAAAAAGCTTACCCTATAAAATCCCGTCATCGGTTCATCCGCACTGCGAATCTGCACAAACCTCGCCGCAGCCACCATACCATTACACTCACTATTCGCGCATTGTTTGGGATAAGTATCGGCATTGGCCCAGGCATCTTTGCCTCCAAATACATCTTCTTTCTCTTCGCGCACAAAGGTTTTGCGGTCGAAGATGGAGCGGGTGAGGATGTATTGGTAGGGACAGGTGAGACATTCGAGACGGTTTGCGCCGGTGAGATCTTGTGTCGAGGTGGGCGCGGGGGTCGAGGAATGAGGAGTTACGGAGACAGTGAGGATGTTGCTGCAGGAGGGGCAGACTGGTGAGTGAGAGAGGTTAGTTGGGGAGAGGGGGAGATGGAGGGAGGAGGAGGGACGTACAGAGAAGCATTTTGATGGGATGGGATTGATATTGGATTCCCGAGGTGCTGGGTAGGTATTTCTTCCTTTTTCTCAATTTATGTCTGCGGATATTTCTAATCTCTCGCAGATCACAATTATCAACTCCCACAAAAATCCCGAATCGTATTGTTTCTTCAACGTCGCGCGCAATTTCACAAGTCAAATAATCTCAAGCTCTTTCTTTATCAATTTTATCAACCTCATCATAGGAACTTTTTTCCCGCTCACTCGCTTACATAATTTCAACCCACCATTACACCGCACGTCTCATCGCACCCCCCAATCACAATGCTCCCAGCAAAAGCGTCCTCGGACCCAAACCTAAAAACTCCACCGATAGGTCCTACCCTCACACGGCTGAGCGTGATGGGGCAGGCTCGAAGGACAGGGATGCTAGGCTCTGGGCTGAGAAATGTTGGCCTGTTGTTCCAGAGTCGGTGCGTTTCGTTTGGAGGAGTGGATTGACTGATGGATGGGTGTTTGGAGAAGCGCTGGACTTTCTACTTTCGACACTTTCTATACATACATACATACATACATACGTGCATACGTGCATACACACGGAGGATTGGCAAGATCAGATCAGATCAGATACGTTTTTTTCTCTCTCGTCTTATTTATTGTTATCGTTTACAGAGGAGACGTATCTGTCTTTCGTCTGAACAGTTTGAGAAGGAAGGATTTGCATTTACGAAGTTACGAGGATACGGGATTTGGGGAAGAAGAGGCTTTGGTCTTCGATTGTTTGAGTTAGGTTAAGGAGTGGTGTACGCTGCTTTGTTGGTGATTTGATTTGAATTTTTTGAGGTCTTCGGATTGTGAGGTTTGCGATAGTTGTACATTGGACGAAAGGAGAAGAGAAGGGAAAGATCAGATAAAATGACGGATCCGAGGGACGTTGAGTATGAAGAGTCCGATGTATGTTTCCCCCACACTCTCTTGGATTTAGGAATCCATACTAATACGCATCCAGGGAGCTTCGCCCGGTGAACAACTTGTCCACGCCGCTCGCGGTAACAATCTCGACCTAATGAAGGAAATCCTCGAGAATTGCAAAAGCGAAGAAGAAGCCGCCGACCTCCTCAACAATGCTAAAGATGGGAACGGAAGTTATGTGTATCATATTGCTGCTAGTCAGGGACTCTGTATGTTCTCCATTTCATTGCTTTTCCAATCCCATATTCCTACCCCCATAATGGCAAGCAAAGTACAAATATACTAACATGTATACTCCCATGAAGATGAAATGATCGACTGGCTCACCCGTCAAGAGGGATTCGAATGTGATCCCATCTCGCAGGCTTCGGGCGAACAGGCAGGAGATACACCACTTCATTCTGCCGTCCGCTTCATCAACAATTTACCACCCACCCCTACCAATTTAGCCGCAGGTCAAGAATTAGTGGAACTGATGCTCGAAGCTGGTAGTGAGAAGGACATCAAAAACAAGCGAGGCCATACCCCCGTAACTTTAGTCGCAGCACAGAACCCCGACTTGAAGAAGTTTATCCAGAATTACACGTTTGATGATGAGGAAGAGACATATCCTGCACCGGAGAAGCAGGAATCAAATTATCTGGATTATGATGAGGTGGCCGAGGAGGACGATGATGATGAGAGGAGTGTATATAGTGGAAGTGACAGTGAGGAGGAAGAAGAGTTCAACAGGCGTAAAGCAGAAAGGGCCAAGAAAGCAGGTTCATAGATTTGATTGTCTGGTTTGTTTTGATACTTTGGGGCGGGTTGCTAGACAAGTATGATATAATGCCGAATTATACATAGAGAATGAGAAGGGAAAATATTTATTTGATCTGAAAAAACATCAACATCTCAAACCCAAGTGAACATTGAAATAGTTCCAGTGACTCTTCTCAAACAAGTCGCAATTTCCGCCGTTCCCATTTCATTTCCATCCATTTGAATCGATCCAAACTCCACTTCTTCGTAGCAACCTTGATTTGAAATTTCACAAGGCCTATGCGACGATAGGTGGGTACATCAGAGTCCAAATCTCCCTCTGCACCTGCCATTCCATCTTGCATATCAATATTGCCGCTGAGTGTTCTTGCAATACCATCAACCCCCTTCTCATCAGGAGATTCACAATGAGATCCAGAATCCGTCGCGATGATATCTTCCACTTCATCCACATCCCCTTGTTTCGCTTCTTCTGCATGTACCTCTCCATCCGATATCGCAGGCTTTCTCGTCTCAACTCGCTCGAGAACTAAACCGAATGCGTAGCGATTCTGGGATGCGATGAAGAGTACTATATATGGCAGTTTCATGAATTTCGACGAGTTTGTTTCTTGTTTCTGTTTTGTTCTCGTTGTGTCGGGTTTCTTTTCGGGTTCCTCCTCTGCGTCTTTTTCATCGTTCTTCCTGGTCACGAGCCAGGGCTCGCCTTCTTTCTCCCGGACCATCCAGATATTGCTCCGTCTTCCAAATCCTCGTGAGGTCTCTGAATTTGGGTTGGGATTGGGATTGGGATCGGGATCCCAAAATATCTCTCCGGAAGATAGAGATGTGCTCGCGTGATCTGTGGCTTTTCGCATTGAGAGGATAGAACCCTGGATAAGTAACTCTGCGCTTGTGATTGCGCCGTAGGGATTCGTGCTCGCGAGAGCAATGTTGTGGGAGAGGAGAGTCGGATCTAGATGGGTAGGAGTCAGGTATTTTGTGAAGAAAGTTTCGATTTTTCCATTCACTGATGCCCAAGACCATGATGGTGCGATGTAGCTTGGTATTGGATTGGTGTTGGGATTTGGAGGAGGAGATGAGGTGGCTTTCTTTCCGTAGTACCAAAGGAATCCTTCTCTCAAATGACTACTCCATATTCCTGCCAGGTAAATTGTATTCAGATAACCGCCATGTTTTAACTCCCCATGCACCAACGACGCAATGCCCGAAAAGGCAGGGAACTTATCAGCAGGGAATGTTAGACTGCGCGTACAATAATCCGCGACCATCTCGCCATGATACTCCAGCAGGATCTGGTTCACATCTTTCGGATCGTGGGGATCCTGATCCGGACTGTTTGTTTGTTTGAAAATGCGATCTTTGATTCGCTCATACCGAAACGCGCGTTGGCGATGCATATCGTAGTCGTGGATGCCGTCGCCGGAGGAATACTGGTGCAGACATTGCCAGTGGAGTTGTTGGTGTCCGTAGTAGAGGGTTCGGGGACAGAGGACTTCTTCTTGGAGCGTCCAGCCGCGGTTGGCGAGGGGTCCTTTGTATAGGAGGTGTCTGAGATCTTCGCGCATAGAGTCTCGATGCACGATATCGACAGTGTCCTCCGAAGTGCTTTCGTGAGATAGTTTAAGCTTGATGGCTGGACCGCCTGTGAGATCATACGAGCGAAAGGTATGCAGCATGCCATCCGTGGCCTTGGATGCAGCGGCGGCGGCGAGTGTTACTACGGCATCGTGATAGACGTCTCCCATATGATTGGATTCTATTTCCCAGTCTTCCCGTGAGTCTTGTATGATGCATAGACAGTCAATCCATAGGTACTTCAGCCCAAGACTTCGAGTGATCAAAATCGCATCTACAAAATTTGCTGGTAGATCCGACATTGGGATTCTTTTTTTGAATAGCTCGACTTTTTCCACAGTCAATTTGGCTTTTTCTCCTACTGAACCACCCCAGCAATGACTAAGTGCTATGAATCTACCCATTTGATGATTCGTGGAGACGAGCAAAGGTTCTCGGTCATGTGAACCAACATCAATGACCCTCGTAGGAAGTGGTTTTTCATCCATGTCAGGACATTCATCGTGATCTTCACTGCACGTTTTAATCCAATCTCGAGCGATACTGAAGTTAGTTTCAGATCTCAGATCCGGATCAAGAGTAAAATGACCGATCTGAAAGGGACCAACAAATTTAGCTTGTCCTGTCGCATCTGTAAGTGGATGATCATATCTGAAGCTCTAAATGAAGATTCTAACGAAATATTCATACCTCGAGGTACTTGCAATGACAAAGTCAGAGGCTGAAACCGCCGACTTACCTGATCGGGTCTTTCCCCTCTGAAATGAAAAGTAAGAAGATCAAGAATCATATCTCGATACGACGTTATGTACCCAGTAAACGGCCTAATCTTCGGCGCTGCAGATTCCAAGCTTCCAATCTCCATACCCTCTGCATTGGGCATTTCCATCGGCACTACATTCAACGTCGACGCAGCAGACGAGTTTCCCAACGTATTAGACAACGCGCGAGGTTTACCAGTCGCAAACCGGTCCTTCAAATAGACTTCCATATCGCGCGGTATGGCCCGTGGTTCCAGGATCCCATGAAACTCACTATCCTCCGAATCAATCGTAACATGAAAGCCCAACGAGCTCCCCTCCTTCTCCATCTGCACCAACGCATCTCTATACGTAACGAGTCCCTCCTCCGAATGCCGCATCTTTGCATCCAGCGCCCGCAGCAGAACATGACAAAGTTCGCAGCCCGCTTGCGCAGCTTCTTTCAAATCTTCATATGTGGCTGCATGTTTCCAATACAAGAATTCCGACGCTGCTTCGCCATTCTGCTCCTTTTTGGAATTCTGGTAATTGGTTTTCGCCAAGTCGATCAATTCGGTCACATTGATACGTGCGCATAATTCGCAAAGCATTTGCACAAATATACGTGTGATTAAGATGGAATGGATCTGATGAATATCAAAATTACAGTCGTTAATAGCAGCCCCATCACACCTCAATTATATACATATTGAATGCAACGGTATGAGATCCAATGTAACCACACTAATGCCCACCCATGAGTGTTTCCGCTGTGCCGTTATGCAATATACCATGCAAAAGACTGTCCTGGCATATTGTAGCCAGGGGCAAGAATCCTACCTGTATGTTCTGAGCGGCCACTGGCTATAATAGACTTGCAGTTTCACTTGCCACTCATTATGTTTCTCCTGCCTATTCAACAGTTGGTTGAATTACAGCGGACATGGAGCGCGATGAATGATTTGATGGACAACATCCTTTGCCTGGAAGGTTTATGCGGGGTCCATTTCCCATTTCAATGTGTCGCAGTGGATACTAGACCTCCTTGAGTAATACAGCAAACTGAATGCACATAGTTTGCCGTTCTGAACCTACAGGGAACTGTTGCAGCTCTGCAGTTTCTCAAACCAAAAGATAAGCGATGACAGCCAATCAAATTCTTTACGCGCCGGCACGCTTCTAGCGACAGACGCTTCCAGTACTAGTGTCGAATCATTTGATTTTTGGATTTTATACCTACAGTTGAACATTTGTAAATGGTCTCAGGGCTGCCTTTTACATTTAGTCTTCTTCTTCTTCTAGCTTGACATTTCATCTGAATCTATACTCTGGTGCTCAATTTCACTAAGAAGTTTCACATGTTCCAAGTTATAAACTTGCAGTAACATAATGGTATCTAATAGGTAAAGGTATCATAAGAAAACTCAGGTACGTCATTCATCTCATCTCATCTTCTCTTCTCTTCTCATCTTATCTCATCTTATACCATACCATCCATCCACCAGACGAAAGCAAATAAAAATCCAATACACAATAATAAGGGTATCTCAACGCCACAAAACATGCATTCTCCATCCTCCCGTCCAATCATCCAATCCAATCTAACCCAATCTATCCGCCCCCCTTCCATTATCAAAATATCAACACAACCAAATTCCCCAAACCAGTACTCCCACCAACGCCCCCCAGCTCCCCAATTTCGCTTTCTCCGACAATCCCTCTCCCGCCGTACTCTTAACCGCCATTTCATTAATATACGTCTCGTTCATCGCGGCCTCAATAATATCCTTTGTGACTTTCCCCGCACTAGCTATTTTCCTCATCTGATCCCCTAATACCTTCAAAATATTCGTACTCCTTCCTATTGGACAAAACACAATTTCCCATCCACCTCCCGTAGGAATAACGAACGTGGAAGTTTGATCATCAAACGGATAACCATATGCATCTGGACAGATGGTATTTGCCGCATTTGCAAAATCATTGCGAGGACATAGTTGAGGTTGATCATAAGCACCTGTGCAACAATCCGACGCCTTGTTATCTTTAGCACAGGCGGAAAGACAAGGATCGAATGTCGGACGCTGGATCTTGTCGTCCGGGTAAGGGTAGACGCCATCACCTGGTTTGTCAGGTGGAGTTTTTTGAAGATTCCATGGACACCAACTCATAGCTGCGTCGTTGGTAACTGTGCTCTCTAATGGAATGGGGTAAGTGGAATTTGAGGAGTTGCCATTTGTACCTGTGGTAGCCGGGGGCGCGAGATAACCGGTTGAGGCGATACAAGCGGCATTTACAAGATTCGGTGGAATGGCCTGGAGTGCGGCATTTTCACCAGGAATATACACAACTCCCATAGGGATATTGTAGCCATCCACTAGAGAAATATCGTAGAAAGTCTGAGAACCTCCATTTCCCGCCAAATCAAACTCCGCTAGAGTAACAGGAGTCTCTCCCTATAACAGTAAGTAAATATCCGCATGTAATCATATCGAACAGACTTACAGTGATAGAACAATCCAAGAGACCACCACAATCACCAGTAACACAAGCAGAACCAGAACCATCATTTCCGGCAGCGTTACTAGCTCCACCACCTCCAACCGCAAAACTACAATTGGTGCGTCCCCAAATTCTTCCTTGCCAATCGGCACTGACTGTCAAGGACTTACTCTCTCCAGTTTTAAGTGGAAATCCTCCGACTCCAGCACCAGTTCCTGCTTGAGTACCAATTCCAGGCCATATCGTTTCAGGACACATGTTGGTTATTACCAGTGGAATTGCTCCATCTCTCTTCTTAGGCGGACCTTTTCGAACAGGTCGATTGGGGTCCCAATTTGGTTTCCAGGTAGCTCTATTGCGATAGTATGTATGAGCATCTGCAATAGGAAGTATAGCAAGACAGATGCTAGCAGCCAGGAGTTTTCTGGACATTGAGGAGGATTTTCGCGATCGATGCGATTTGGTAGAACTCATCCTGTCCTGTGCTTTTTCGCACTTCATTATGAATTCGTCCTCAAAATATGTTGTCGTTCAATTCGTAAAGTCGTAACTCTTATTCACATCCGTAAATTTGTATCTCAACACAAGTTCGTAGAAAAAGAAAGCAAAGTATCAAAACAAACAAAAACAAGCCAGAGGAAGGTAAAGGTATAATAGAATCGAGGATCCTGGATCGCCACGGATTATTCCTTGATATCGTGGGTAAGATGAAGCAAGATTTCTTCGACTTGGTTGAATTGGCCTGGTTGGTCTCGTTTGATATGATTATTCTCCTCCGATCTGATGTGAATGGATATGGTTGGTCAGAAACTTCCCAAACAAATCGTTTCAATACCAATCACTCAATCCCTTTTAAACCAAGACCAAACTTCCCAGGTCCAATTTTCCAAGTCAGAGTTCAAAGTTGCAATTATGGAGAAAAGCCGACGACCAGTCAAGTAAATAAACCCCAGACGAAATCTCCCAGGTAAACAGACAGTGGAGCAGGAACCCTTCAATAACACTCAGAAAAGCCGTTCAATCAATCATCCAAATCCCTCTTCAGCCCTCCAAAACTACCCCTCCACCAAATCACCAAGTGTGTATCCTAGGTATCGTACACCCAAGTATCCTATCCTATCACACCTTCAAAAACAAGAAAATGACGTATCCGAGTACCTTGGCTCCGAATACTCGTTTGTGAAATCGAAAGGGTGGGATAAAAGTACCAATTGCAAGACCGCTATAAATATATATTCCTCGTCTTCGCACGAAACGACCAGGATACAAATCTTGATTTCGACCCCTCTTATCCTTATTCCTATCCCTCCGTACGGTCCCTCCACGCCGCAGTCCAACCCTCAAATCTCAACGCTTTATGGACGAAGTTTGATTCTTTTTTTGACAGCGGGAGCTTGCAAGGGGTTGGAATCGAAGTCTGTGAGCCAGCCAGTACATGTACTGCTAGGTATGGAATGATATATTAAGCACCTGCAGAAGTTTCAACTCCAAGAAAAGGCTACAAGGAAAAAGAATATATGTAGGTAAGCGCTCAAGTGGAGGCTATTCAATGAATTACAAGTAAACAAATAGGTAGGTGTAAAAGAGCGTGGTGAAAGAATGTATGTTTAAGAACGTGTATTCAAAAGAGTGTAAAGAATTGAGAAGAATCAAAGAATAACGAATAGTTGGTTAGTATCTACATGGTGTAAAAGGTTCATTCCAATCTTTCTGGGTACTCATTGTTGATACTTTAATACCGACTTAGTGTAGTAAAATGTCAGGTACGATGGCATTAGTGCCTTCCCTTTTAGATGGTCTAATTGGATGGTTTTCATAGAACGGTAATTGTAATAGTGATTACTAGGAAGGGAAAGAAACTATTCACGGGTGCTACCGATACCGAGACACAAGCGTAAACGAGGGAGGGACGACTAGTCGTAAGGCTTAGGGATACTACGAGGCGTATAAGGATATATGGTTCCACTGTGATGGATTTGACTTGATGGAGACCCAAATACTGAAATCATTATCCAAAATCACATCACCAAATCACATTTGCAATTCTAAATCCAAATCTTTCAATAGTCGTGTATTTTTCACCAACTACAGACCAAAATGAGCAAATAGGTATCGTATCAACTCTCTAAACTATGGATCCATTCGTCCCTATCATGAAGATGCAAAAAATCATCCATTCTCTCATCAATGTGCTAGAAAAAATAACCCCATCTGATCCAAACAACTTATTTTTCATTCATCCATCATGCAAATCACACCACCAATTTTAGATCTGATCACTCCCCATCAATCGACCCAGGCAGGCACTTCTTCTTTGCTCAATAATCTCCCCAGTTCGTCATGAAAATCATCGCAGAAGTGCTTTCTGCTATCAAATCTTAAATTGCTTCCTTACACTCCAGCGCCGCGCATCACAAATTGATGCTACTGTAAGTAACCTAATATTGAACAACGCTAAGCAGTTAAAAAAAAGAAATTCGTCGAATCCAATCCTTATTATTTTTTTATGGTTGGTGGAGAGGAAAGATTATCTGAATCTAGAAGTGCAACGACCCATGACTTCTCCTTGGCAAACAAGTTCTGCATTGAATTCGGATCCATCGAGGGTGAGGTAGATATCAAAGTACACTCGGTAGAATGTGCCTTGTGGGGTATCCATTCTCTCGAAGTCCTTTTCAAGGTTCTTGCGAGAGAGATCCGAGGTAAGAGTAACAACTTCCTTGACACCTGTTGATATGTTAGTAAATACTATGATGTACCTGTTTACAAAGAAACTTACGTGGATCTTTTGTGTATTCCGGGCAAACATCATCATCACAAGCATACAAGATATCCTCATACATCAGAGTTGCTCCCGGTGCAACCTGTCTGAAGAATGATACCTTGACTGGCTCACCAATCTTGACTCTTTGTCCCTTTTGTACAAAAATTTGACGAGTAAACTTGCATCGATCCTTACCATCCAAGGATGGAACACGGTAAGCTTCTGGATGATGTCCTTCCTTGAAGGGTTGCAGAGTTGCCATGAGGTAATGACGACGAGCTACACGAGATGTAATAACTCTTTCTGTGATACCAGCAGTAACGGCACCCTTAACAATAGCAGCTACTGAATCCATAGGACGAACTACCTTGGCTTGGAACTGAGGTGGTACATGAAGTTTGATCTGTTGGAAAAGATACTCAGATGCACCAAAACCACCAACAACCAAGACATTTTGAAGTGTTCGGTTTTGTGCTTGAATGGCAATGATTTGGTTGCGAACCAATTCCAGAATTCGGTTGACGACTGGCTCAAAACATTGTAGAATTTCTTCGTTGGTGAAAGTCATGTATCCCTCTTCAATTCCTGCCTCGGGGAACTCTGCTTCAATGCCCACGTCCACTGCCCATTTCTGATTGTTATTTCTGAAATCTGCCTTTATTCTGTTCTCAAAGTCCATAATACACTTTGCGTACACTCTTCCCGCTGTCTTTGAACCTTCGGGTAACTTCATCTTTCGGATCTTGGTTCGTAAGATATTACTAAAGTTTCGATTCAGTGCAGTAGACCCGCAAGAATCACCAGATCCTGCCGTACACTCGGAAACCGTGAATGGCGACTCTTCCTCAACCTCATATGCAATCAAATCGACAGTTCCACCACCACAATCAACAATGAGTACCGCATCATGAATCTTGAGGTTCAAGAGACCAGCCTTTGAGCAAAACAAAGCTGCAGCTTCGGGTTCTGTGATCAGTGTCAATCGGTTATCATTCTCATCCCTCAAGAATCCAGCCTGAATGGCGGCAGCTCGGGTTGCAGCTTTTCCAGCATCATTCCAAATAGCGGGGACTGTAAGGTAATATCGAATATTCCTTTCTTCCCGATTAAACACCTCTCCTAAAGTCTTTTGTAATTGATTTCTCATTGCCTGTCGAAGTTTGAAGAGATAATCTGCTGCGACGTCGATCTCGGACTTTCCTGGTGGAAGGGGAGGAAGGTTGATGGGATCGATATATGTGTTTCCGGATAGCATCAATTGAAGCTTGAACCATTCTACCTTTTGAACACCTGGCTTTGGGTAACCAGTTGGTGCCAAAGCATCTGCAATATCAGGACCCCATCCGACGACTTTCTGGTATTGATCATAGTAAAGGACGGTGGGAATCTAAAGATGTTAGCATATTTATGAACCTTCAACAGCCAGTTTACATATATCACCTTTTGCTTTGTGTATGATCCCGCTCCAGGCCATTCGGTGATGATGTCTTCTTTTGCCTCGGTGTTGGTCGCGAAAGCGAAGGCTACACCTGAGAAAGTCGTGCCCTGATAGCCGTGAGTTAGTTATGCGAATTCCGGGAGAGATCATGATATGCTTACAAAATCTATTCCGACGATGAGCTGTGCCTTACTCTTACCAGCGCCTTCGACCTCTACCGCATTATTCCTTGCTCCATACTGAGGGCCGGCAGCTTGCATCGGTGCTCCTCCAGCACCATACTGAGGAGGATGATTGTATTGAGGTGGCCCAGCTGGAGGAGGAGGTCCTCCCATCCCTCCTTGTTGAGGAGGATAGCCGCCGGTAGCTGCCGTGTTAATCGGTGGTGGTCCGCCCATCATCTGTGTAGGAGGGGTTCGTGGAGTACCTTGAGCCATGGGAGACGTCGTGCGCCCAACAGGAGTATATTGATTCGAGTAGCTGGGCGGTCTTACGCCAGCACCTCCCTGATGATTCATAGGTAAGCTTGCCGTGGAAGAGGAGGCAGTTTGTGTCGTAGGGGCAGGCTGTCCGGGTAATTGCGCGAGTTGTGGTGACGAGGAAGTGGAAGTGGGGTTCTGCGGGATGGAGGTTGAGATATTGTTTGCACTTGATTTACGTTTGGAACCGAACCCAAGGCTTTTGAAGCGGGCGTTCATAGAACTCATAAGGTCTACGAAGGGTGGTATTTTAAAGAAAACTTCTCAAAGAAGTCAAAGTCGTAGAAAGCGAAGGACGGAGGAGGAATGAAATGGTATCGTAATCGTATCTCAAATGCGATGGGATATCCAGTCGCCGGTGTCAGCCAACCTATTGACTTGTCGCTAGTTCCCTAGCGACTTGGGGCTGAGTCGATCGAAATTCTTTTTGACCTGGTCGGAAGGATTTCTCGTGCAAAGTGTACGGATGACATGAAATCTGCAGGAACGGGATATTAAAAAAAAAAAAAAGATAAAGTCCTATTGAGCCAAATGGTAATATTGGAGGTAGGTGTGAATGATTATTGAGGACTAGTGGGTGAGCGAGTGGAGTTTATGTGTACGTGATGAATAAAATGGAGATTTTGGTAGGTAGGTCGGTTGATAAGATGGGGATGGATGCGAACCACGAATTGAGTGAAGTGAAAGATTGAAAGATTGGATAAAGAGGCAAGACGTAGGATATGAAGTGTAACTTTAGAAAGTAGAGGTCAAGTAAGGTAAAGAGAGTAAGGTTGGGTTGGGTGGTAGTGGGTGGTATTGGGTGATGGATTGTGGGATGGGTTGTTGTTGGTCGATGAGAAGATGGAATGGGTGGAATGAATCGATGAAAGTGGAAGGTTAAAGCAGGGCGAGGGGAAGCAGGTAGTAAATGGAGAGTGAATGTGTTCTTTCTCGATGGTATGCTGACAGCAGTCATAAGTCAACTAAGTTTTTATGCGGGTTCAGGCTCGCTTTGTTCTTTGATCGTGGGTGAGTAAGGATTGCTTGCTGGTTTAGATTGTATGTGTCGAGATATGCATCCCGACGGAGTGTACAGGAGTAGAGACACGATTGAAAGAGAAAAGCAACAAGAGGAGTAAAAGGGGGAAGCCACATAAAACCGTCAACATATCCGGGCAGTCCGAGATTATATGTCCTTTTTCCAAACAGCAGGATGCGATATAAATAATAATTTACTTTGGGAAGCATTCACAAAACAGATGGATCAGTAGGAATAGAGATTTGTAAAGAACGAGGGGTCTTTCTTTTTTGGTCGCACAGCACAACCACGCCAGTAATGATGCATACATGTGAACCTACACCGGTGGCTTTATGGAGGAAATAAAACCATACTCAGCCTCATCAGCATACATCTACGAAGTAATACATCTAATATATCTAATACATCGAATACATCGAATACATCGAATACATCGAATATATCTCACGTACCGAGCGTACCTACTACCTCTCAAAGGAATCCAAACCGGAAATCTCCCCAGCTACCCGTCCGTCCGTCCCTACCTAGTACCTACCTATGTAACATTACTTAAGCACATCGAGGCACAGCCTTGAGTCCTGCTATGGAGAGAAAGAAATATACTTTATGTTGGGCAATGCAAAGTTGGGCTTTTTCCCTTTTCTATCATTCGGGTCGATCTGCCTTGAGAAGACTGATTCCAAGACTTTATTCAATTCCTTCACCGTCAAAATGTCAAAATGTCAAAAATACAACGGAAAGCATTTTGGGATTCCTTGCAGGTACAAGTACGTAGGTCTGTAGGTCTGTAGGTCTTTCCCACCCTTCAATCTTCTCACCGTTTTTGAAATCTCAGTCTCAGTCTTGGCCTTGCAATTTTGGATACATTATAATTTATAACCAATTTACGAGACCATCTAGAACCCAAGGTGTTGGTTTTCCGCCCCCAACTT